TTGAGGCCTGGTGGTCCAATATGTCTGCGCCCTAATCCGACGCCACTGTAGAATACCCGAGCCCTAATAGGTAAAAGACCGGTACAACAGAACAGGCTTTATTGACCAATCAGAAGCCAGAGCCTCACGTCAGGCGCCTTCCATCCGAGTCCCCTCGCTGGCCACGCCGCTCATTATATACTATATCTCATCCATGTCCTTCTCTGGTTGGCTGCCTTCCTTTCCCGCATGCCATTGGATCGCAGAGAGACACGGGATTGGCTGAGGCCAGGCGGCTCAACATGTCTGAGCCCTAATCCGACGCCACACCACAGCCGCACCACACTACATATGGAGAATCAGCTTTTAAAGCACATCCAGTCTGTGTATGTTAAAATACCTTTCCTAGTATATGCTGTAAATTATTACGTAGCTATTAAACCAAGTCATCGTTGACAAATATTTATTAATTACTTTCAAAACATAATATTTTACAAACTAAATTAAGGTTAAACCTTCGTTGATTTAATAATGCCGTGGTGGCATTGAATGTATGCGTAATAAGTCATCAACGCGAGCTTTATGAAAACTACTGGAATTGCTGTCACATTGCTTTTTGCACTTTAATTCTTTGTTGGATGTGGTTTGTCACCGGAGCTATCTATGTGTATTTTATGGACAAATGCTGGTTAACTCGGGAAGAAAACCACTTGATTTTAGTGTTATGGGTATTGGCTTCATTATAAATCAACTATTTGTTTAAGGAAATGTCAATCAATCCTGTATAACCACATTTATGTAGGTTGCCAGTCTTTGGAATCTTAATATATTCCAGCATTATTCGTGTGATCTGTAGCAATACGTTGGTGCATGTGCTTACTTTGAGTTCCGTAGCCAACAACTTTATCCTTTTACCTATCACTTCCAGCCTACCTCAAGTAAAGGATACAGCAATACAATGTTTTGACACAACGGGCCTCCCCCTGTTGTCGGTGGGCAAATCTTGCTCCCATGGGTCTAATTTACTTCCTGCCATCCACAGGCACGCGCTTTTGCTTACTGACTCAAGGGGCGAAACTTCGCCGGTTGTTGTTGTTGAACGCGAAAAGAGGTATGCTTTACTACTTATACCAATGATCCCTTTTAGCCAGGTATTTTTGGCACAATCAGGAGGCTACTTGACTGCCATACACAAACCTCCATGTACATAAGACATACTATCCTCTCTGTGACTCAATTGTGTATTTCTCGAAATCGCCTCTCATTCCCAATTGGTTAAAGTAGAATCTGCACCAGCCTTGTCTTAACTAGTCATCTCGTCCTACCTGTCAGGGTCCAACGTTAGGATTGCAACGAACGATTCACCTGCTCCCTGCATTAGCGGCCATGAATATGCAATTTAGCGGTCTCAAGCTCATCTGTAGCTTCCACTTATATTAAACATCCAATTTTTCATAGCATGCCGAATTACGCGGCGTTTATCTCGAAGGCGTTACTGCAGGTCATGAGTTATAGCCTAGGTCAACAAAAGATTACGGCATGGAGACTCAGCCAAGCTCACGTTCAATCCACTAGCCAACAGGTTTTACGAATCAGTGTCTTTGTTGCTATCGCAGAACAATTGCCGGAGTTGTCTCAATCGATTTAGTGACCGATTGATCTGACGCTTCATCTTTGCTGATAAAAAGTACATAAACATTAAATATGGGTGGTAGACTGGGCTAACATCAAAATGTTGAGACTGCTTATGAGAGATGCAATAATTAATATATTAAACCGATTCCAGCATTGTGCAGAAACCACCCGAAATGAAAGCAAAGGGCCAGTGCTTGGCACAAATGCAATTACATTTATGAATATATACATAGAAACAAGAGGTTAATCGAGATTATTTTGAAATGAAACCTATTGTCTTTTCGGGTATTCGTCAAGTGGGACGCCCACTGTTGAAGAACAATTACTGTGTTGACCTTGTTGTTGGTCTACGCTGACATCGTCAACTATCAAGGACGATGGATGTTCCAGCGGTTTCGATGAAGCCATGTAGAGAAGGTAACCGCGCTTAGGAGTGTGGCCTGTCTTCAGTTGATCAAAGTCTTGGCGACCGGTAGCAGACGTCGCCGTTAGTGTGGCGTTAGCTGTTGACCGTGATGTTGCGTGTACCAGGCGAATGTGGCGATCAAGATTAAATCTAGGAAAAAGCATCCTTTTGGTACATAATTGTAGTTGAAAACACGGTTTGCTGCTTTTTAAAGACCACACCAAGGGTTTGCAAGTAAGCGCCAACACGGGGCATGTAGAAATAAAGAAAAACTAAATCTGACATGCGTAGCACGAAGGTAACTATTAATACGCTACTCAGTTGTCGGAACTTGTAAATAAGCACATAAGAGCGAACATAATGGAGCCTTAAATAAACTGTTCGTGTTCCTTATTTGTAAGTCAAAACATTAGCAGTCAGTTAGGTATCAGACCTACTTAATAGGAAATGGAAAATCTATATCACTGGTCCTCAACTTCGAAACAGATTAAACTTATGAAACGTAATCTTGAGGTGCACAGACATCGACGCCGCCGTCTGCCGTACATAATGTGTAAAACCGACTATAATCTCGAAATACGAGATTTTTTAATGGATCAATAAAAGTGGTTTAAAAGAGCAGAATCAGGCTAAGGTTAGGTTCTCATGGGCGCTCCAACCAGAGGGACGTTTTCGGGAATGTTGGATCGGCACGACACTATGTAAATCCGATCTCAAAACAGATGGACAAGTTAGTTTTAGGTTCGCAGTATTAATCACTTCCATGAGACAAATTTCATGGGTGTTAATCGGAGTAACTTAGAGCTCCCAACAACTCATAGAAATAAATTTAATGCTAAATGCATAACATTCAAATTTCTTTTCCACAAGCAGTCTAAATTCCCGAAAAGGCAAGTGTCTGCAATATGAAACCGACTTATCTTTCACGTCGATACACTATATCACATTTTGGCTCTCATTATCCACAGCATGTGAATTCAGAGAAAATTGTGTAAAATTAATGTCTGGGTGATTTGAATAATGAAAAACGCCACACCATGGAGCCGCCTTATGCTTTGTGATCCCATCTACGAAATTCGGATGCCTGGAGCAAATTGTGCCATCCTGTAAAAGCGTAAATACAACGGATTAAGAGTAAAAGGCGGAAAGCTAACTCACTGGCTACTCATTCGTTTTGAACACACGGGACAGACAACAGAGTCGCTCTGATTATGGACACGTTGAAAATGAGTTGTCATGTTCCCCTTTGTGCTGAAGGTTGTATCTGCAACAGCGAGCGCATTGGAACATAACACTATCAACCAATGAAAGTTTGCAAACTTGAATTAAGCCCGCATCTTGAAGTCCAAATGGAACAGCATCCATGGTTGGGACTTAAAGTACCAGGACTTCGTCTTTTTTTGCAACTCAGCTCAATTGCAATGACCGTATTTGAAACAACCTTTCTGTAATTTAAGTGCGTGTGGGTTTTTGATGGAGAAGCAAAAATGTGACAGCCTAACATAACAAGTATTTTAAAGTTATCCGAGCCTCGAAGTATCCAGGTTGACATCAAAATATGAAATTTGTAAGTGGGACTTGGGAATTCAAGGGAGTTGAGGCGTGGTTTAACAACGTAAGACTCACTGCATTCGGGGCAGACGAAGCGATTTTTGTTATGCACATTCTTTAAATGTTGCTGGTACTGAATGACACTATTGAACTCGGTGTCACACGGCTGAAAAGGAGCAAACATAGAATTGACAACAAGGTTGAGACCAGCACTACGGTGATAAAAATCGATTTGTAACAGGTAAAGACACATGCATTCGACCGCAACATCTTAGGTATAACACAAGTGGAGAAATGCATGCAAGTGGTTAGAAAAGCAAAGTACACACTGAAAGTGTCCTGTGACATCGGATGGCGAGTACTTGTCTCACTTTTCTCTACCTCATTTGTGTGTACGCCCTTATTTATTGATACATACACGACGATTGCGTAAATTCCATGGATAAGTGCAAATTAGATGATTCTCATGACAACGATTAAAAAGGATTTGTGCACATTTATTATCTTCAAAATAAACGATATTAGGCACATTAATAAATTTGTAAATTGAGGTGATACTACACATTCGGGAGACGTGCTAATTTAAAAATCAAAATCCTCCGTAGCTGCATGGGAGAGGCCAAATGGTCTGTCTGGTTATACTGAAGCCTGCTTGCCTCAGCAGATGACGTAGCGCCCGTTAGAGCAGATTTACCTCACAGAAAGGTTTCCATGTAGCATCCGATCTGCTCAAGGGTCGTTTGCATGGGCGTCCAGTGTAGGCATTGTCATGAGTAAATCGGGAGGATTGCGACTCAGCGGAATGACCTAAAGGTGTGGTTTTATATCTTTAGAACAGGTTTGTGGATCCTAAAAAGAGCGAAACGACGAATCACAGGAGTACGTTCTGATTGTCTTCGATTAGGCAGTGTTTACCAGCTACATTTTTGCGGAAGCTAACAGCGCATTGGATGTGGGGACGATATTGAAATGTTAGTGTGTCTTACCTGCGTGGCGCGCGGTAACAAGGTTCGAACAGCGGTGCTGTTGGGCATCAGGTGCATCCACGGCAAGGGCGCTATTTGGTAGGACTGTGGCGCACTTTTCGCAACAGCGCAATTCTGTGTGCAGCCTCAGGTGGGCGGCGATCAATTCCATCGAGCTATTCTCACCTAAAATGCGGCAAAGTGAGCGCGGGCACTCAGACGCTTACTGATTGTAAACTGAGACACGCATAATCCACACTTCCACAAGAACGGCTTCCACGAAGGCCCTGGCGTGAAATCAAAAGATATCGATATATCCAATGTGGCCGGCGATTTGAAAGACAAACTAGTCACTGCATCTACGGCTATTTCCACCTGATCAGCAGATGCGCGAATCATCTGTGGACGGGGGATTGAACTTGAACGGGTAACCTTAATTCGGAATAATTACCTTGAATATTCGGTGGAAATAAGTTCATTACTTTTATTAACTAAATCCGAGTGTGAAAGCTGGAGGCGTTTCCAAGGCCGCTCATCACCTGATGTTAGGAGGACGTAGAGTGGAAGTGGAGCTTGTAGCACCCGAGTGCTAATGATACCGCGAACTGCTTCGGATAGGTCAGTCCATAAACACGGCGGATAGCGGCTATAGTTCAGGAAGGTCGTTAATTTGGTTGTTGTACCAGATGCATTTGACTGGAGCATAACCTATAAATATGAACGGTAAATTACGAACACTTGGCTTTAAAGGATCCGATAATCTGCGAATAAAAAAGAATAAATAAAAACACCCGTGGGTTTAGTGGTCCTGAGTGGGACGAGGTTCGAAATATGGTTTAATTTCACATATTCTAGAGATGACCTAGTCTCGAATGCCGATGGCTTTCTGCCAGAAAGTAACCCAATTACAACAAATTACTAATTTGAACCAACACCTTCAACAAATATTATAAGGACTGATTGTCAGTGGAGTAAATAAACACGCATATAACTGGAAACCTGGTAAGGAATACGGAAACAGTCCTAATAACAAATTTTTAGAAAAAATACGATTTATTTGGTTATGTACAGCGAGATGTGAGGAGGAATTAGGTTAGAGGTAGAGCACATAACCACCCTGTGGGTCGCAAAGGCGGGTGACACTCTGACGTGCTGTCGTGACTGAATAGTTGTTCAACTCGATGAGAGTGGTGCTGCGAGTTGTTAAGGGATGTTGGAACGGCACACGAGGTAGAGGCGGTGAAGCGGCAAGCATCGGAAGACAAAAATGGTGGTTCGAAACTGTTCCAGAGTAGCGCAACAGGGAGGGACAGTGTGACGTTATGGCTTCTAATCGCACGGCATGCTGGGCTTCATCTGGGTCGCGTTGGCGGCCCGTGGCAATATCGATTAGAGCTGTGAGATGACATGAGGGGGCGCCCGAGGGATAATCGATTTCATAGACAAGGATCCAGTTCGGTTCCAGTGGAGATGTGAAGAGAACACATTCGGTTACGTGGTTAGAATTCTCGACGACCTCAGGCAACTAAAGTATGGGAGAATTCATAGAAGCTTTCGAAGGGCTACACTTGCTCAAAGTGCCTACACGCATACTTGCAATGATTTTTCTGGAAAAAAAATTGAATTTGAGCTAATCATCTCGTAATTCACGGATATTGTAGTTATACAGCCCTTTGCAAATGTGCTTAAAATTGCATTAGCGAACGTTTCATTATAGGAAAAACGACTAGCATTTTTGGTCACTGATCATCAGAAGTGGAACAATCCATCGCTTGAGAACAAAAAGCAGTCTGAACCGACTGCCAAAACCGCGTTTGATGTAATGCGCAACGTTTAGCGGAACCGGGCTAGACAGAAAAAACTGGGGATTGTTTTTCGAACTTTGATTACACCCATCCGCTAGTTCGGAAGAGCATTACCCGACTCCCTTTTGTTTAGTTCGGCAACACACTGTTAGGTAAAAAACAGGATAAAATTGTGGTGTTTTAGCTCGGTTTCGTGATCCCAACAAGTGATAATCTCGCAGGTGAAGTCATTTCCCACAGCCTGAATTGAAGCCCAGTCAAATTTTCAAAAATAAACTACTTTAAGCGAACACTTAATAACCATTGACATTAATCCAGGACCGTCAATTTGTTAATCACTAAGTGGACGATCAAAAGTGCTACAACAGATTTACGTTTGCCTGAAAAATCAAAAACGGAGTTAGCGAAAGGAGACTGTGAAGGCGAGTAGGAAGTTCAATATTTGTGGAAAGGAGGCGCTGATTTTGACAACAAAAAGTATTGCATATGGGGCTTCGTACAGAGTAATCACAAATTTGCATTAACTCGGTCAAACAAGAGCCACTTTATAGCAATACTTATAAAGTAGTGGAAACCAGAAGAACAACTGTCTTTAAATATTAGGAAATCAATAATTATAAAGCTAAATCAACAAGTTTCTGTGTGGACCCAATGATTCAATGGATTTCTGTTGAATAAAACGACATGCTTTCCCAAAATAAAACAGGGGGTCCTACTTACGTCAAAAACAACTTCTTCCATGTGGGCTACGACAGGGGAATGGGGGATTACTGAAGTTCCTTGAAGGTATGGTTGCCAGTCAACGGCGTCAAAGTACGAATGGCACTGCCCGCACAGCTGGTTAGTTAACAGTTTTTCAGGATTTGAATCTGGGGCAACACAAGACGGGTTTCTACCATTTTCATACCCACACCGTGGTAGGAGTGTCTAAATGCAACCGAAAAATGCACTCACCACTAAAGTAAACCGAAGCAAGCAGAAGTAAAGCCTACCAAGACTGGCAACGACCTCGTCTGTAATAGCGCATGAAACGGACATTGAACAATAAGATAATACAACGAAAAAACCGGCACAAGAAAAATCTAGAATAAAAAAAGTAACTAGAAGAAGACGGACACATTATGATGTCACTCACCCAGTGCATGTAAGAAGCACGGATATCCTGAAGCATGGCCAAATAGCATAGTGGCTTACATGAGTTGAAAAGCTCACGTGCGGCTAATAATGACGGCTTCCACACGTCCAGTGAGTCCACACGCGTTTCACATTTATGCTCCTGTAGAAATTTGCCGCTTGGAAGCTAAAAAAATAAATAACGAGGTTACGTTGGAAGTAACTATACCACGATGTGATTCACTGTTACATTCCATTACATTTAAAGGTACGTAATATTCTTTGCGGAACCCAAATAACTAGTAATTTTCGTCTGAAATTTTGGTAGACTGCATGCATTGATTTCTGGCAAGCACTGCCATTTTGAAAGAGTACAGAAACAGAATCAAACTTACTATAGGGTGTTTGTGGCCATCTGGCCAGGGATCACTAACTTTTACTATACGCACAGGAGACGACTTGAAGACACAAAGTTCCTTGAGACCAGACAACTTTAGCATGGTAGACGTTGTGTCTCGTGCACAAAATTGTGAGGTTTGCAGCCGTTGACGACAACTGGAAGTGTCGGTTGGCCAAAAGAAGCACGAAGAACAATAATTACTCGTTAAAAAGGGCTCCTGGTAAGCCAGTGGAGGTTGAGTTGAAACACATGTCCCATTGTTCCGCAGGTCTAAATAAGCCCCCTAAGGTTTAAAACTGAGGTAAAATTGAAAAGGACAATACCATAGGCATGCTGCAAGCAGACTTTGGACCAAATGAACAGCTCAGAACTCGTATTTGTCGGCCCTGACTGACCCAGGCGACACGTAGACGACCAGTTTCTGGACACACAGAAGGGTGCAGACCAGAGGTCGAATTCGCCATGCATACACAAGTGTAACTGCTTGATGCCGTAGCCCTATGACTGTTGCAAAGGCAGTAATGGGAAAAACACGCAGGTATGGGTGTTTGACCATTGTTTTCCGGAGAATGAACTTCATCAAACGAATTTCCAGATTTGGTGCAAAAGGCCTGGTAATCGGGATAGAGTCGTAGTAACTGTAAATGCTTTGTACATTTAAAAGATGCAGACGTCTCACGAGATAAAAAAGCTCCTCGACAGTCCAAGCAGTTTGGATCAGGTAATGTGCCCCAAATCATTGAAACATGATCAGAAGACGCCTGAAATTCAATGAGTTGTTGACTGAGGTGCCAGTAAAGGCACGCATAAATTTAGTTCTTCCATAACTTACCGAAGAAAAAATCACAACAAAAGTCTGGGGATCATTTAATGATTGGATGAACCGGATTCCGAACATATCGGATAGAAATGGGTGAGTAGGGAGTTCATCAAGAGCGATATCGGCAAATGACGTCTGTAGCCAATTTCGAGGACCGTAATGCTCGCCAGGTATTAACCAGAAGCGCAGTTTAACATAGCGTGACCGTGAATTATAAGATACTAAAAAGTTACTATCGGCTGAAAAGCCAAGAAAGACTTCATCCAATAAATTCTGCGGAAGAATATTTCGAAGACGAATACATTTTAGACCAGAAGTTGCGGGCATCAATGAGCCAAAAGTTTCACGGCGGTGAATTAGGAACTGTAAGTTCATGACACCTAAAGACAAAATCACACAGAGGACTTAACGACATACGTATCGAAATACCCGATATCACACATAAAGTAACTCTGTTAGCAACATACTGCCTAACGGTGTCGATACGAACCACAAAATGGGCACCTAGAGCGAACTTATTAGTAACCAACTGAATGTTTGCAGCCGCAATTTACCAACCAGGTAGAACAGTAATAGAGACAACAAAAGAATAACGCAAGTCAAGATTTTAAGAAAGTTTAATGTAGCTAATATTCTAAAAATTGCAGAAAACAATTGATCAGAAGTCAATACACCGTCCTTTACGCTCCCAATCTCCATAACGAGTGGGCTCCGGTCCCCGAGGCCCACTTCGTTCTCCGGTAGTTGGGTTAATATCGTTAGGGAACCTTTCAAGCGGCTCTTTTTCTGCATCGGGGTGAGGCTCCAGCTTCCGACTAGCCGCTTGTCCTTCTTTATTACATTCAGTCGACAAAAAAACACAACGATGCGTCCTTAAAAGACGACACTTGGACAGACCCGACCCTATAGAACGCAACATTACGTAGTATTTGAACATCCGCCTTCCCGTTTGTCTAAATTCTTAATATTAACATAAAACCAATAAATATTAAACAAGCAACTATCAATAATTGCGTCCAAACTAAACCCATTTTTTAAAAGTCAGGATTTTGCGTGTTTAGAAACATCAAATTAATTCCGAAACATTGTAATTTTATCAGCCAAAGCATCGAGGTACCGGTAAAGGGAAAAATGTCAAGTAAATCGACAAAGCCAAGGATACATTTAACTATAGACATCTAAAAATATTTGCAGCGTTCCTTTTTGATTGTCAAACTCCTATTTTTCAGCTGACTATTGTGACCAAAAAGGGCTGCGCCTGGCGTCCAAGAAATTATAACGAGTAATATAATTATGATCCTAGCAAAATACTGAATAAATTGAACCAAATGAAAACACATAACCATGCAACTAGAAAATAAATTATGCTAAAGACGAATAAATATTCAGCTTTTGAAATCCGAGATGATATATCACAATAACCATTCTTGGCATTTGTAACAATTCGCTGCCTGCTAAATTGAAGACAAGAACTTTTCGTGAGTAAATACAAAGCGCAATTTTTTCATTTAAAAACAGCAAAATGTCTGCATTGTTTTAACATTACCGTTATTATTCGCCTTTAACGCTACTAATTTAAGGGCTAAAATATGGCATTTTCTTTAACACACACCTGACAATCAATAACATGTTTGCCTTATAAAAGTCTAGTCTTCCGCATTTCTTTAACGACTTCTATTAGTCCAAAAGCTGGGCACAACACTTTTATGAATCCATTTCATCTGCCTTCTCTCGGCTCCATTTTTGCGCTGTCCTTGAAGTGGAAATTTAGCAAGCTTAACCCGCATGCTCACTTTCATTTTTTAGGCATTTCAAGGTGCTCAACCATTGCTGACATTTTCTTTAATTTTTATGCTATTTGTTGAAGAGTTTGCCAACATTTTAAAGTAATATTTTCATAGTAGTAAAGTAGACATTCTGATGCTTAGTTCCTAATATGTTCTGTCGTCATGCTATATGCGTTCGTTTTGAGACTGCTTAAAATACAAAAAGTTTAACTATGAGTGTGAGATTTTTTCTTCTGGCCGCCGTTTTTGAAACAATTACGGCACAGATTATCGATTTTTTTACTATTATCAGGAATAAGATTGCTGCGTTTCATGTACCGGGGACAAACTTTAAGGGTATGTCCGGTGCACAATAAATGAACTTTTTTATCGCATTCAAGTTTTGAAGGCCTCTTCTTTTAAACGTTTGTTGACGTGTTGCATTATGCTTTTGCTAAGTTGTAATTTGTTAAGTTGGATGTTGCAGATCTTTTTTCGACGACATCCACTTGACTTTTTATTTAGATCTTTCGAATCAAGCTTCTATTTTACCCCTTGGGTTATAATTTAGTGTTCCATCCTTACTTTGTGTACGTGTATGTTATTTGCCTTCCTGTTCTTTCATCAGCAAATTTTCCGAGCCCTTACTTTTACCTCTTCGGGTCATTTACTAATGCCGATTCCTTTTCTTTTATCTCATTGTCTTTCTTTTGAATGTAAGTCTATAGACTTATAGACTATAGACTTCCTCTTGGTACACAAACATTGTATAACTCCGTCGAAATGGCCTCGATTGGTTCCGCAGTGACATCGGTTTGTACTGCCTCTCAGACCGATAATGATTTTCTGGCCGAATTCGCTCTCGATGGGTCTGAGTCGGCGCTGCCTCGGGACTTCCGTAATCGTCTGCATAAAATGTTTGAACGAATCGAGCGCGAGTTTGAAAGAGAATACCAGAAACTCTGTGCCGAAAACTATGCCTGTAATGTTTGTTTTGGGGCTGTTTTATTCCATGTTTTGTGCCATGGTCGCAATTATTAAGTACTCCTACTTTTGTGGAGTGATTTTTTGAAGACTCAATTAATAATATAATTATAAAATTGGTTTATGTGTTCATGTAAAGTCGTTGTTATCTTCAAGCTAGGAAGTTCACAGCTTTTTCAGTCAACCATTTATTTCCTAATCATCTTTGTTTCGCAGTGCTTACTATTAGGGCTCAATTGACGCTGTCGCACACGTCTTTACTTTTCCTTTAATCTTAATTATCAGATCCAAGAATTTTGAGTTTTTGTTAATTTTTCAATATCCACGTACCTTTACTCTCACATGGTACCCGACTGAGCTAATAAATTTAACCGAATCTCGAGGGAAATCTAAGTTACTTGTATTTGTCTTGTTGTGCGTACTTTCTCCCACATTAACTTGTCTGACGGTCTTTTATCCACTTCTTTCAATATATCTACTTAATTTAGAATTTGTTAACCGAAACATTCTGTAGCCCACGTTGATAATCTTAAGTTGTAAATCCTGTCACTTAACTTCATTTATTGTTTCCTTGTAGTACAAGAGAAACTTGAAAAATTTGAAGATGTTGAGCATCCGGAATCCAATATTTTTTCGAAAAAGTGTGAGTTTCTATGTCCGCAAATAGTTTAATATTGCATCATGACGTTATCTTCAAATTAAATATGATGTGACTTGATTTGTTATAGTAGTGGCAATCTACGACTTGCATTGGTTGTTTTTTTGAAAGTTGCAAATATTTAATGGAAAGTATGCTTTGGAAAGCATCGTGCGTTTTCTGTTCTTTTGAGTGGAGCTTAATTTAATATCAATGCATTGTACTTTGCCATGAGACTGCAATTGACCTCTGGTTAGTGTCTTTTGTTCAAAGTAAAGTATGCACTAAAAAGTATTGTAATTACAAAAGTCTTGTCAACCTGATCATTTATCGGAGTTACCAACACTTTGTTGGGCTTTGCTTCCTCCCACTTGCACTAAATCCTGCCCTTTTAGTGATGGCCAGTCAGTTGTCGCATCGTTTAAAACTTCAGTACAAACAGTCCACGTCTCGTCTTGTCTCAAGCTTTCGGCCGGTCTCTGGTGGCCTCTCACTTACTGCAAGTGGTACAGGTCCAGGTTCGAACCCAGATCCCTCTCGATCGGGTTCGTGGAAATTCATCCATAGTTTCACAGGTCATCGCGATGGAATCTGGGAGGTAACTTGCTTCCGCAATCTCGTTGCTACGGCTTCAGCTGATGCAACCGTTCGTGTGTGGAATAACTCAAAGTTTGCCAAGTAGGCATTAAAAGTTTGGTTTCAGGTATTTTTCACGGCTCTTGGTTATATACAACCTCAAGCCAAGTAAACATTAAAGTCGATAATTTTTGCCATGTAATACCTTGGCCACTTCCACCACATGTTTATAAACGCGGCAGACATTAATAACAGGTTTGTGTGTTTTTTCCCTTGAGTTGGAGTGCCCTTAGTAAGATCGTTTATGTTCTGGGACGTAGTTTGCGCAAAGTAAACTTTCGTCATTTACAGACGGCCACAGGTTTGGTTGGTTTTTTTTATCGATGTCGGCGATGTAAAATGCATAACACTTTATGCCTGGTACTATTTTTATGTAAGATTGAGTTTATTCCAGGTAGTTTGAGATCCGATCAATCTATTAAAATAGCTGAGTTTGGGTAAAATGAGGAGCACGCCAATGAAAATAAGTGCAAATTTTGATTCGCATACCTTGTTTTCATTGAAAACTATAGCATGATCTGAAATTAAAATATTCGGCACTTGTTTATCAAGAAAACAAAAATTATTGCTAACCGCTCGCTAAAAGGCTTGCGCATCGTCCAGACTCACATAGGACAGTTCGTTTCTACTATGGTGGGTCATGATCTGGGACCTCAAAACCGACTTTACGTAAAAGTTCATTTTAGGGAGAAAATGCCCAATGAATGCGCTCGGATCGGCCTTTACATTCAAGTGTTATATGGTAGATATTAATTCTTAGGTTGTGTAAAAGTTGCCTCACTAGTACTGGGGCACAACCTCAAGCACTTTGCGATGAACCACTTAATGGAGGAAGCGGTTTGAGGAAAAATTTAAGAAAGAAAAATGCCGGTAGGTTGGTTTTATTTAGGTTGAAAAAACTTGTAGCTTGGATATTTTCCACAGCTGGATAAGACCATCAATAGAAAAGCATGAAAAAAGTATTTAAGCTAAGATTGGTTGTAAGTGGCCTCGTTGATCAAAGCAACATACTTTAGAAAGGTTAGCTTCGAAGTTATTCGTTGGTGCATCGCTCGTTATTAAGCGCTGATGATTCGAGGCACGGCTCCCAGTCATAAAGCCTAGCGCGTAAGTAGTGAAAAACTCCTGACTGTGTTCCAAAACGAAATATCTTACGGACGCCTGGAGACAAGGTTATGCTAGTTCATGCTAATAAGCTGGGCCTAGATAAACACAGTTTCCTCTATTTTAAAGAATCGTATCTCTACACGAGTTCATTTGCTGTTTTAAAGGTATAATTTAATTTTTTATTCATACTTTTTTTCATAAAATTAAACACGTCGAATCTTCGCACCTCTATGGCGTTGAAACTTCCATTTCCTTTATTACCACAAGACAATGATAGGTAACAGATAGGAATAATGACATCCGACAATTACAATCTTAGGAACCAAAATATTAGCTCTTGGAAAAACAAAAGGGGTCCCCTGACGCCATTTTTGGTGCCGTTGACAAACACAAATTTTCGGTCTTGATTGATACCGTCTCGATTCTGTTCATATTTACCGAAATTATCATTTGAAGGCCCCTTAATACTTAGGTCATCAATGTTAGATTTAACATGAATGTAGCTGCGGTGAGTTGTGATTCATCTTAACTCACCTCCTTAGTTGCCTCCTCGTCTATTCCGGTCACTCGGGTTCAGTGAATTCGGTTCGTTTCCGTGAGCGTGGGAACCTGATGCTCACCTGCAGTGGCGATGGCACTGCGCACCTCATTCACCTTCCTCCTGTCTTCTTTGAGGATGCTGCGCAGCATCCAAGCGCTTGTCAACCACCTCAAGGAGCCTGCGCTGATCTTGAAACCGGGAACCAACTCGATGGTGAGCAGTGTCTATTTTCGAGAAGTTTTGTGGATCTAAGAATGGGCTCTCCCTGATCTGTTAGCGACATTAAACTTCGTCGCAAAAGAGTCCTTTAAATCAGTGAAATGTGAAGTTTAATTCCTCAGCTGGAATGTAACTTTAGGCTGTACTAAGTACTGCTCATTTCTCATTGGCCGAGACCTAACCTGAGCTCCGGTGTTTCCTTGTTTGGGAACAAGTAGTAGGCCGATGTTTCGCGGAAAGTGCCACGGATAAATGCAACGAAATAATTTCAATTCTCTCCCTTGTGGAAGCTTGTATTCCAAAGCTAATGATGCTTTTGCTGGTTAATCTTATCAAATTACCTATCTTTGTCTGGAAGCAACAATTGTGTGTTTGTAATGTCGAGTCTTAAGGCCAAATTAACCATTGGTAAGTGTTTTTGGCATTAGCGTGGACTCAACATAAAGTCCTTGTTGTATTTGAATTCGACTTTACTATCTAAATGTTCACGGTCGTTTCTCCATGCCATTTGCTTATGCGCGCACTTTGTGTAGTTTGTTTGACCAAGACTTATTGCTGATGCCTCTCGCATAAAGACTTTGTGGACCTTTGCTTCAATCAGAGCACTTAGCAAATTTGTCTTTTAGCGTCAGTCACCCAGGATAAGTGTAATGTGACTTGTATGACCGTTCATTTCCCCATTTTTTCACTGTTCCAGACAGTCTTTTTTTCCTCATTTTTCATACATTTTCACATTTTCACAAAGCTAGCTGTTTAGCTACTCCCATTAATCCTTTTAGCGACCAGTGGCGGAATTGACACGGATGCTCCAATTGATGGTAGGTCCAAATTTTATAATTGTTAGAGCGACCCAGTTACTTTTTCAATTTTGAATGCAAATTTCAGCTAGTTACAAAAAACAATAAAAATATGGACTTAGCAATCCGAAATGTATTTTTTGTCACTGTTCGTCACTAATTTGTATAATCGGTTCTTCCAAAAGTCTCTGGGTGTTGTCGTGAAACTGTTCTTGAGCCAATTCTTTAAGTATTCATTGTCGTCATGCCGCACATTTTGCCAGAAATTAGGCTAAAAGGTGTACACCCGGCGGAACGATGTGCACATGATGATGCGTCAAAATCTCTCAGTATGGTCGTCTTGGTGAACTGTGCGGTGTGTGTGATCGAGCCTTGTCGCACGGTAGAAAACAATTCACATCTGTTAAATAGATTCAATGTAACGTCGCAATCCGGCACCGCGGACTTGCTAGTTAGTTGTCTGATTACGTGCGAGCATGTCGTGTTTAACGAGGGCAGCAAAGTTCCATTAAAGAAAAATAGTTGTCTCGTGAGGTGACGATCCCGTATGACTTGGCATCGCCTGTTCCCACCCGTCTACCAACTCCGGCTTTTCCTTGAGGTTGACGCTAATGACTGATCTGTTTCTACGAATGCGCCCCTATGCCGAGCAAGCAAGTCGCCTGCAACCATAAGGTGCTGATGTTTTTTGCTTTCCGTCTACTCATTGACTCCGGACGGCGATAGGTGGTTTTTAGTCGTTAGGCCTCGTGGCAGGGACAATTGCCGTTCAAATTAGAGTCATCCAGCATTGCTCGGGTCATTTCTTTGCGTGTTCCTTTTCCTATCAATTGTGCGAATGCATGGCTTAATTTGTTTGCTTCTCCTCCACCGCCTTTTACAAGCAATGAAAGCTCTACTTGGGCTGTTATCCATGTCTGTTTTCTGCAGGATCACTACACACCCCTGTTCTGCTTCGCGATCCATCAGCAGTATTTCAGTCAGCGAGCCTGTTTCCCTCTGAGGTGTCGCCTTCAGGCGTCATTTGCGAGGGTTCTTCCTCCCTTGACTCCTTGCCTCTGGCCGCTGCCGACTTTCTATCAGGACGGGACCAGCTCGTGACGGCCAGTTGGGATCGGCTGGGTCGCCTATACGACCTCAATACGGGGCAGGAGATCCAGTCACTCGCTGGTCACGACCACGAATTGACGGACGTGAGGTGCTGCCGAGACTCCAATCTTCCGGTGGTAGTGACTTCGGCCAGAGATTCTACATTCCGCGTGTGGGATTTCCGACAGCCTCGTCTTGAAGTTCACGTGCAGCAGGCTCACAGTCGGTGAGTTGTCTGTGCCTTCACTTGACTAGCCCCAAAATATTGCTATTTCCCCCAACAGGTCTTAACGGTGGCTGAGGTTCTCGGGTGTTTTTCGCGTTACCGTTCAACTAATGAAATATTGCTGTGTTTGAATGTAAGGTGTTTATAGCAGCCGTGTTGTGCGCTAGCAAGAAAAAAGGAGTCGTTAAATTCTCAGGGCTACTGTCACTACCTTACTGGGCTAAAATCGCACATAATTTGTCCAGCATAGACGTAACATTAGTTTAAGTGGCTCAAACTGTAAAACGGGTGTTTGTTGCAGTGAGTGTTAGTATGAATAAATCTATTAACGTGTTCATGTTCTTGCAGTCCTCAGTTATGCGTTAAGCCCCATGTTGACTTTTATCTTGACGATCTGTCGAGCATTTAAACGCTAGTTGATGGGAAAGTTTGAGGTGCTTGTATGGCCACTTGTGCAATTCTTAATCGGTTTAACAAGACGCCCTTAGTAGTAATCGAAATTGGTGTTTTCTGTGCCAGAGGCATTAATTTGGAATACTAAGCTATTTCTCAGCCACAAATTCCGGAGTTCGATGTTCAAAGTTAACTGAATGTGATATCACTGACCCCGCCCAGTCCGTTCTAAGTTAACCGAGGTATCAATAGGCTTTAATCTTTCAGGCTCTCGCCAAAGCCTAGTGCACGTTAATTCTTATTTACACCAACCTCTTTTCAAGTTTTATCTGAAAAAAAAATTATCTCTGAGTTACCTCAGAGCAGTCATGTTAGTGTGTAGCACAAATATTTCGTGTGATAGTGTTCTTACACAACCTAGTTACCATCGTACATGTCATTTGTAGGCCAGTGTCCACCGCCCAATTTCTTTCCGGCCGCAGCTTTTACCATGTTGTTAGCGCAGGCACAGATCGCTCCTGTCGTCTCTGGGACCTTCGGAATCTCCGCTCGCCCATCTTCACCATTCGCACCGACGCGAGCATCAATCGACTGGCGATATCGCGCGCAGGCGCTCTTCAGCGCAAGTGGGGGGCGGCCCCACCGGCCAACGAGGCTTCCACTACCTCCGCCCCTACGACCACTCCAGCTGACGCCCCGCCTACTGCAATGCCTTGCATTTTTGCGCTTCCTTTAGACAACCGGACGGTTCGTCTTGTTGCTGCCAATGGATCACGGATTGGTCGTATTCCTCGGAACATCGCATATGTAAGCCCCATAGAGTAATCCCGGATTTTGGTTGCATCTTTTTTCAGTTCACTTATTTTTTTCTAATTTGAACTTGGGGAAGCTCTCGTGTTCATGCTTCTCCGTTTTCCTTTAGCAAATAATGTGAACTCATGCTCCTTTATTTACCTACACTAAATCGCGTTATAACACTGCTGCTTGTTGGCTTTTGTTTCTGTGTCAATGGTGATAGCAATGTTTTCAACTGACTACCTATGTATTGGTTAAAATGAATCAGCGTGATATATATTTACCTAAAGTGGCATTAAACTAAGCTAATCCGATATTCTCATCAATCCAAACTATCCCAATAAAGTCGCTTCTCCGTGAACCGAGTCACTAGGTAACAGCGAACCTCGTGTGGAGCACGACTATCAAGCAGCGAAAGTCGGAATCCTAGCTATCATCGACTTGCTGTTTATCCAGTGCTCCTAATTGGCGGGAAGAAATGCCACTGATCGCATCCAAGTTCCAAAATATTGTACGGTTTTTTCTGCCCACCCTCCCCTAACTTGTGTTGTCATCGTTTAAGGGGCACACGAGCGTTATCACCAGTGCGGAATGGGCAGACGAGGGACTGTGCAATCTCTTTACATCTGGATTCGACCAACAACTCCTCGGTTGGCAGCTCCAGATTTCGTGAACTCCAATTTTCTTCTTCCATTTGTCTAACTTTTGTCAGTTCATCATTGTTGTCAGATCCGTATATATTAAAGCATTGCTTCCCCTTGACAATGTTCCTTTTTTCCCCTATGGTGGTGAATTAGTACGATGGTGCTGCGTATTTGAGCAGCCTGTGCTATCCAAAAAAAACAAGTGTTTAGTAATGTTCCAATTTGATATTGTCAGTCCCCAATGGTGAATTTGCTTTTAGCATCCTTTCAATAGCTAGATCATTATTGTTCAGTCTTTAATAATTAGGGAAAAATAGGACTAACTGCGTTGTTCAATCCCTTACTTGCATTTAGGCCCTTCTCAAATATCGCGGCCTCTCCACTACCCGCTTCCATTAATCTAGCTGAAACACTGATCCACTACAATTTACTTCGGGTGACTACTTCATCAAGATGCACAGTTTGGTGCACGGTACTTGACTGGCATTTGGGGTCTCGTCTTCTGCAAAATTTTAGGTTTGTATTAAATCCTGGAACCGTTGCATGCTACTATCAAATTCTACCCTAAAATTCATGTATATAATGGAAGTTGAGGTATAAAACGAGGTTTTTTTAAAAAAAAACGTTAAGCCTATTTCTTAAAACAACATTATATCTTAAGTCAAACTATTATGTGAGGGGTTATACAGCTCTTAATAGGCAGAATTACCGAATATTAATAGGACTATACGTTTACTGGGTGACAAAGTCCATAAAACATGGCTCACAAAGTGCCGCAATTTTAAATTTCAAGTTAACTCAGCCTTAGGTTTCCCTATCGTAATTATCCATTTCAACTGTCCATGTGCATGTTCTTAGGTATTTCGACATAAATGACACCACACGTCAATTCAGCTTAAGTTCAGCCAGTCGACAATTCCAAAGCCTAGCCTCCTAACTATCCACACACACAGCCAAACAGTGCTTTTTGCTGCTTTCAGTAAGCGGAATTATTAATTAATATTTTTTTTAACCCACTCTTATAACGAGAAGCCAATGTTCATCTTCGATGAATTTGCTAGTGTTGATGGACATCCTAACTGACACATTACCTAAGTCCACGGTCTGTTTACACGTTACAAGATTTCAGCGTGAAAATTAGTCATATGCCTTTTCTTGATAATGGTCTTATGTATTTGCGTAACTAACTATCCGCTACACGGCGAATGACTTGATAATCTTTATTCCCAGTGTAATTTGCGTGCGGCAAGGCGATGTAGTGTAGTGTAGCGACGTATAAGGGCACAGACATTGGACCACACTGGCCTCAGCCAATTCTCTGTCTTTCTGCTTTTAAATGGCATAAGAGAAATATAAGCAGCCAATCAGAGAAAGACACGAAGGAGGAGCAGTATATAGTGAGCGGCGTAGCCAGCGCGGTGGACTCGGATGGACGGCGCCTGACGTGTGGTTCTGGTTTTTGATTGGTCAACAAAGCGAGATTTTGTGTTAGTCTTTTTCATACCAGGGCTCGGGTATTCTACAGTAGAGACATACTAGGGAGCAGACATGTTGGACTATGCCGGATCTTTAGTCAATCCTCTGTCTTTGTGTGCCTGAATGGCCTATGAGGAAGATATGCAGCCGACTGAAGACAAAATCGGATGGGGAGTGGTATATAATGAGAGGCGCAGCCAACGTTTAACACTCAGATGAAGGGCCCCTGATGTATAGTTCTGGTTTGTGGTTGATCAATAAAGCTCGTTCCTTTGTACTAATCTTCTTCATAGTAGACCCCAAGCCAGAACCACCCGTCAGGCGTTTTCCTCGCATGCCATTGGAACGCAGACAGACGCAGGATTGGCTGAAGTCACGGGATCCAATATGTCAGCGCCCTGACCCGTCGTCACAGTTTCTCCAGTGTAGAATACCCGAGCCCTAATAGGTAAAAGACCGGTACAACAGAACAGGCTTTATTGACCAATCAGAAGCCAGAGCCATGCGTCAGGCGCCTTCCATCCGAGTCCACCGCGCTGGCCACGCCGCTCATTATATACTGCTCCTTAGTCGCGTCCTTCTCTGGTTGGCTGCCTTCCTTTCCCGCATGCCATTGGATCGCAGAGAGACACGGGATTGGCCGAGGCCAGGTGGTCCAACATGTCTGCGCCCTAATCCGACGCCACACTGCCTCCCCCTTAGGAGTGAAGCTGCCCTCAGCTTCCGGATTGGTTCGCCGCACTGCTGTTGATTTCCAGTGTTGATAAAATATCCAGTTCGACACTTCCCGCACCCCACATCTGGCAGGATAGTGGCCCACGCGAATAGCTGACGAGGGACGTTGCTCTTGTAGACTTGCAGGAAGGACTCATCATTCATCGAAGGTCCATTCGCAGATGC